GCCTCCTGCTCCCCCTTCTCCCTTCCCTGACTTTTCTATGACCTCGCCGCTGGCATGCTGCACCTCCTTCCTCTGCATCCCTCCTTCCCCTCCACATCTCCTTCCCAACTCCAAAACTCACCCTCCTCACTTTTGCCCCAAGTAAAGAGTGTGGGAAACACATGTTTTGGGGTGTGAGGGGAAGGAAATGGAGACCCAGGGAAATCAGCTCCAGCCTGGCCAGCAGACAGCACAGCTCTTGTCACACCACCCATCGCACCCCGCTGAAACCAGAACAAATTCAGACGCTTAATCCACATACGCATGGCCACAACCACAAGCTATCTTCCCATGCTCTTTTCTCACCTTCCATGCATCTTGCAACCAGCCTGGAGCTGACCTGGTTTCATGCCCCTGGAAACACTAACTGATGGCAGGGAACTGAGTCACAGCCCCCACTTGCCTGAGCAAACACACCACCAAGCTCCTCCTGTCTAGTCTGTAGCTAAAAGTCCCACCAGATGCTCATCAAGGGAGATTTCACATTCCTTTTTTTTTTTTTTCACTAACCAGATATTTAGATATCTTTTCCTTTTATTCTTACTTCAATACCCATTTTGCCACGGGGATTTTATGCATGCAGTGAAAAAGTGCACTGACTAAAAAAAAGCAGACATTCCTATATATAACATCTGTAACAGCAACATATCTAGTGGGTGTTAAAACAGGTTTCAGTATCCTCTACAATTTACATACTACATTAGAAAACCACACCCAGTATTAGCAAACACATTAAGTGCAACACCTGGTGCAGAAAGGACCTGAATCATACATGTGAATTATATCACAGTAGTGCATACAGAGATGCAAGAATCATTCTTCCAAGGAACAGTTACATTGCCCAACATCAAACAAAAAGTGGGAAAAGCCCCAAACAAGAAGTGTAAGGCCATCGCAGAGAGATCACCTTGCACAACCAAAGAGCAGCAGAGCTACCACTTGGCATGAAATCCTGCGGGATGACCAGAGGGAAATACTCCTGGCAGCACTTCAGAAATGTATGTATGAACCCAGCCTGAGCCGACCCTCCTCCCAGCAGCGAGCCCTGCAACACCTTTGTGGCAAACGCAGAGCAATACGCTTCAACCATCATTTCTGCACCTTGTCTCCTGGTTTTCTTATTTAACTTGTTCGACTGCACGAAACCAACCCGTGGGATTTTCCTGTCAGCAAGCGCTCAGAGCCAGGCTCTGCTGGCTGTCAGCAGCTGACCCCAGCACAGTCTTCCCTGAATCCATTTCAGGAGGAGAGGAAGCAGATGTCTTGAGTTGTGACCCTCCTGCCACTCTGAGCATCTCAACTTGCACCCATTCTTGTTCCTAAAGAAAGGGCAAGGGAGATAAACAGGAGCAACTGAAACAGAGACTTCTTTTACAGAAATTCGTACTTAAACCTCATTCAGAAAGGAAACACTAAGACCATTCAGAAAGAAAAGGCAAATTACAATTTCTCTACAAGAAGCTGAGAACACGAGGACTCTTGCAACAACTCATAACAAATAGGTTACTTCATTTATTGTTTATTTCCCCATATGAATGAATCAACCATCTCGGAAACTCCATCACACACAGGGCAGAAAAAGTTATTTACAAGAAGGACACACATCCCCAAAATAAGTTTAAGATGTACAAGTTTATAATTGGAACCAAGAGGGAGGGGAGAGGACAAAACCGAAACCAAGGACATTGCAGTCAGACTTTGACTTTCAGTTAGAGAAGAGATCTCTATATCCATGTAAGTGAGGCTTTCAACTATTAAATAAATGGCATCTTAAAAATAGAATATTTGACAATTTCAACACATGTATTATTTCTTCTAAATAAATATTGCATGGAAATGATTCTGCTCTGCCACCATAGCTGCTTCCTCTCCTTCTGGGACTCAACTATCACCTCTGTTTTTCCTTGGATTCATGGTCTTGATTCCTAACGGCAAATGCTATTTCCTCCGCTGTTTTGGTTTGGTGGTTTTTTTTTTTTGTTTTGTTTTGGTTTTTGGGTTTTTTTTTTTTTTTAAAATTTTTGGTTTTTGGTTTTTTTTTGTTTTTTTTTTTTTTTTAAAAGGCCTGAACAGGCCCAAGTGAAAACGATAAGCATCTTTCCTAACCCTTTGCAGGCCTCTGACCTGGCTCAAGGTTGAAATATGATGGCTTTTAAAAAGTTACCTATTATTTAAACAGTCTTCTCCATGACCTGAAACAAAACATAGCTTCCTGCTATATGTAGCTTGGTACTGATGCTTCCAGATTGTTTTTGAAATGAGAGCCCCCAAATAGTCCCCCACATGCCTGTGACATGAAATCATACCCACGATCTTGTTTCTGTCAAAGCCCAAGGGAGTTTGCCCTGGGAGCGGGAGCAGCCCTTGCACAACCACCTCCGCACAGTAGCAGAGCATGTGCTGCCTTTTCCCAGCTGTACAGAAGCAAATGCCAGGAGTTCATCTGCCCTCACCGGGTGTCTTCTTACTGACTTGGCTTGCCTGACGCCCTTGCATGAGCTTTTCTAGGAGCAGGGCAACAGGTTATCGCTATCTGGGCAGCAAAGGGCCAGCAAGGGCCAGAGCTGGTGCCCCTGCGGGCTGCACGGAGCTGGCCGCAGGAGGGGGGCAACTGCACGCCCTGCCTTGCCATCCCCCTGGGCGGGCAAGCTAAGAACAAGGGGCTTTCTGACACGAACCCAGCCTGGCAGCAGAGGGGGAGATGGGGGCACGCAAACAAAAGTACCGGGGGACCCGTGGCCCTGCTTCACCTGACGCTTACCCCTAACTCTCTGCTACGGTTCATGCAGACTCCCACAGTGGTTTTCGGGTTCAATAAAGCTTTCTTCCTTCCTTCCTCCTCCACTGGTGATCCTAAAAATAGCTTTGAAGACAAAGTCAGAAGAAGGCATCGACCCACGAGTCTGTGATTGAGCTTCAAAGTGCACATCAAGCCTTCAGGCCAGCTGGCCATCTGCGCGCTTCCTGAGAACAGAACACGAACGCTGAGCCTCTCTCTGTCCCCGGCTTAGTCCGAGCGGTCACTGCTCCAGGGAGGAGGAGTGCAAATGAAGATTCATAGGTAGGACGGGGAGGCAGGGACAAGGACCTTCCTTCCACCGGTTAGGACAGCTTATCCCTGAAATGCACCAAGACTTTTAATAAAGTGAGCATAAAAGGACACTCCTTTGAAGCAGTGGGAAGACCCAGCCAGGATCCCGGTGGTCCTGCGCTGCCAGGGGAGGCACGAGGAGAGCTTCCTTGTGCTGGAGACAAGGGCAGAGTCACAGCATGCTCCCATCAGCTTCTCCCAGAGCAAGGATGACTCCAGGCTTCCCTGTGGCAGGGACCATTTCCGCAGAAACTACTTTTGGAAATGCAGACCTTTTGCTGATATTTATTTACTGTCCGTTTTCATGAGCCTCAAAACCACGAGCAGGTCTTTTACAAAGGGGGTACTGCTGTACGTGTGCAGACCTGTACCTCCATCCTGAAATTATGTGGAAAAGGGAGCTAATTCTTTCCTGTAAGCACAATTATTTTAGGATATCATCCTTCTCTTCTCCACTCCCACGGGTCTGTCAGAGAAAGGGCAAGGGATGTGAGAGGGGACTGGAGAGCTAAGGCACACTATTAGATACGAGGATGGCAGGATGCTGCTGTCCCACAACAGGAAATCTTTGGGTAGAGGAGGGTGTCATCTCACTGAATACACGAATGCTGTGGATGCTGCCTTCGCTGTTACTGTCACCTGCAAAATTGCAATTTCAAAAATGCAGCTCCTGACAAGGAAAAAATGCTTGTAAACAGCTAATTATTCCCTTTTGTGTTCCCTTGACAGAATTTTAGGTCGCTGGGCCCATCGTGTAGTTTGGCTGAGAAAGAGCACGAGTTATTTCCCACATGAAGGATGTCCTACTTTGGTACCAAATCCTGCTCTTGGGTATTCACCAAGACCAGCAGTGGTTGCAGGCAAATATCCAAATGCATAATTTATCTTGTGTTCCACATTCAGCCACTTAGTCCCTCCTTAAACAGAAGTGATTTCTCCCTGTGCAAGCTCTCAGACTCAGAACAATATCCAAGTAATCACAGTGACCCAGTACAGCTGTCCACCCCCACCCACTGAAACAAAACAAAGCAAGGAGTCCCCAGTGTGAGTGACGTTCCTCCGCCACAGAAGAGAGGCAGAGCAGTTTCCAGCCACACCTGGTCATTTTGCCACCTCAACTGTGTTTAGCTTACAAGGCTTAAACCAAGTAAGACCCTAAGTAGCACAGTTTGAGTGCTAAGGGCATGTATGTGCATGAGTGCATGGCAAGGAGAAGGACCAAAGCAGTGATGACTTAAAAAGTGAACTTGCAGCACTGAAGGCAGTGGCTTCCCCCAATTCTCAGGACAGCAGCCAGCTGACAAATGCCAGAGGGTGAGGCTGGAAAGCAGGCAAGGCAGAGCCTTCGCTGTTTCTATTGTAACGTAATGCTGTTTGGTGCTGATGAGGTTGCTACTTGCCATCTGAGGAACAAAGACACCAAAGATTGCCTCCGTGCTTACAAAAACACTTCTCTGACATGTCTTCTGGGCACACAACTCTTGCAGACTGTGGGATGTTGCATAATAACCTCTGGAGGCAGATTTCCTTCTTGTCGGCACTTCTTCATGTGTGATTATTGTCCTGCTGGTTATTCACAACAGAAATGTTTATAGACCATCAATACATTGAGCCATTCAGACAATTCATTGCACTTTGTCGTTTTAAAGGAAGGTGCCATCAATGCTGAGGCTTTCCTCCACCTCTTCTTTTTCAAGGCAGCAAAACGCTACCCTAAAAACACAGTTCAAAGTTTTTCCAGTGTAACCAGATCCCTTCCACGTTGACTTATTTTCCCTTGCAGGTACTTTGTATCCAATGATTCAACAAGTCAGACTGTTTCTGAGGCTTCAAAAGTGCAAAAAAGTTCAAGGTCCACCTTGAGCACCAGTTAAGGCGTATTTGTTTCCAGTCTCAGCCACTGTAAACCCTGTCTAGTGTAGTGTACCAGTTCGGTCATGCTACTATTCAGTGCCAGAGCGCACGTCGCTGTGCTGAGTTCAGCAAAAAAATCTGGAAAAAGAGGAGGGAGAGAGAAAACATTTGGTTGGTTTCACACAACGGGCATGTCTGACAGGCAAGGGGGCTGCGAGGAGCAGCAACAGCAGCACACTGGGAGTTGGCAAGTCCCATTAAACACGTTGTTAATGCAGAGAGCTCAGCAATATTAGAAGGCTGGGAAGCGTCAAGCACACGAGGCAGGGCACGTGAGAGGAAAACGCACTCACACACGCACTGAACCACCTCCCCAGGCGCTGGCTTAAAAGGACATCAAGACTCCATAGTAGGTGGGCAAAAGTTTGGGTGTCCACACCCCAGTCCCCGCCGCATGCTTCACCCAGATTTTAAGCATGCCAAATCCGAGTGTTTTTCCGAGCAATGCCTGGAAACACACACAGCTGTCATTGGACTTGTCCCTTTCCTTCAACCATCCTCAAACCTTGGAGACATCACGATTTCTCAAGTGAACAGGTTTAAAAATTTGTGTAACTTGCCAGGCTATATAGCTCTGATTTGGGTTGCTTATAGCTGGGCATGTCAGGCAGATTTAACAGAGTCCTCCTATCCTGTCACCAACTTCAGGCACCACGCTCCTCCTCCCACATGGGCAGGAGATGGCTCTTGCAGCATATCTGAACCTGCTGCCCTGCTCTGTGCTGGCAATGGTCTGTGCAGGTGACAGCAAGTTATGGCAAATCATCACACCCGCTCCCTTCCAGTCATCTTTCCAAGGCATTCCTGCCTTCCAGTGACATGGGCTTGTCCCAGTCCCTCGGTCCCTCCAGCCTTGATCTTGTTGCCAAATACCTTTTCAGAAACTGGCCATTCTCAGCTCTTTTTTTTTTTCCCCCCCACTACACACAAAGATTGAACCTGGAGGCTGAAAATTTCTGCTTGGCTGTGTGAGGAACTCTTCAGAAGCAGAGAGCACAATGCTTTCATTCTAATACTTTCCAATTCAGAAGCAGAGAATACATTTCCCCTGATTTTCCTGCTTTTGTTTACAAAATGGGTATTCATTCCCTCCATGGGGAACTGAAGAGCTGTGAGCAGGGACAAGGAGTCCAACCCCCTCTGCCTAAACAAACAGAAGATAATCTGTGACCACAGCACCATGTGAAAAGAGAGTGACTTCACATGCATGCATGCAACCTCAGCTTGTCCTCGCTGTGGGAGATCAGAGGCCAGAAGACAACCTGTTACAGCCTCATGATCCATGGTGCTGCTCTGAGTTACGGCGAGGAGCTGGGTCCTGTGCTGGAGGCACCTGGCTGTGGACCCGCTAGAGAGCACTTCAGCTCTGCACAAGTGACTCGAATGTCAGTCACAACTAACTGCTTTCCACTGACTTATGACTTCCCTATTTAAGGGAACATGATAGCTGAAGGCCACTGCTCCTTCCTCTTCTTCTTATGCCCTATGAATTGCATAAAAGAATCAAGCATGTGACCTTTTTTTTAGTTTTATGTACTCACTCTCTGTACCTCTTAGCATGTGTACACTACACCGAATATCAACAGGTTCCAGCTCTGAAACTCCTCCGCTGTCCTGAACAGTGACAATAACTGTCAAGCCTACACCAGTATTTGTTTTTCCCCTGCACTGATACACTCCCTTGGGAGTGTTTACTAACCCAGTCACCGTTCCCCTACATTAAAACAGCAACACAGAGCAGGTTCTGAATTTAGTCTTGATTGATGCAAGATTGTGTGCTCAGGCTGCCCTCCCACAGGTTTTCCTCCATGACTCATTCCTCTGGCTTACCAGCAGCATCCACCACTCCTTCCACGTGACAGTCTTTTATCAGCCTTTTGAGGATATAATCCAAAACACTACATATGAATTGCTGCTGCGAGCACAGATTTGCTCACAGGACAGCCAACAACTGGAGTTACTTTATTCAAAGGTGACTTGCAAAGCCTTTTGAATTTCAGTGACTGCCTTGTTAGCATGAGTATTTTTACAGTCTTCGAACAACTCAGCCAGGCACATCATGCTTATTTTCTTCTGCAAATCTGCCAACAGATCATGGCAATATATCCCTTCGCCCAAAGTAACTCACAAAACTTTGTGTTTTATGAAAAATGACACTGCAAATGCCACATGGGATGGCAGGTTACAGACTGAACTGCATGTACTCTAGGGTTTTGCTTATTCACCACTGCACCTACCACAGGACAATACATTTTTAACCAGACTGTAAACTGTAAAATAAAAGAAGTAGCAGCAATTTTTGGAAATGCTACTGGAACATACTGGTCACGTGCCCAGCAAGGACGTAAATTCAAATGCTGCTTAGCTTCTCTGTTATGGAGAAAAGCCAGCTTCACTCTTTTCAAGACAAAAATACCTGCAAGTTTGACAAACAAATTAAACCACATGGCTACAGGCCAAAAAGCTGTTTTTAAAGAAAGTGAACCAACTCAGAAAAGCTAAGGGCCCCAAAACGAAAAACCAATGGCAAAAAACCTCTTATGCTTCTTATGTTACCATGAAGCAAGTTGGCACGTTTCCTGCACTTGATACACTCATCCCTGAGCTCTTAGACATTTGAGGACACCAAGACAACCTTTTAATTGGATCACTCATCAATATATCACCATCAAGTACCTCTGCCAATATGCCACAGCTGTCTATTTCAACATATTTTATGCTTTGATCTTTAGGTATGGCGTTTGCTACACTGAGTGTTAGGATTTAAGCAAGTACATATACATAATGACAACACATAAGACAGCAAAGTCAGAGGGCAAAAACTTACCCTTATTCTTCCTGGCCAGTGCCTCAGCCTGTTCCCAAATATCATGCGCATAGAGGACATAGGAAGTGATATTGACATAGGAAGAGGTGATACTTGGGATATTATAGGGGACAGTGATTGAAGACCCAATGATGTTGCCACTGCAGTTGCTAGCATTTGATCCCGGCTGAGAACTCACAGAACCGGCAGGAGAGGGCACTGGAGAAAGAGGAGAAGGCATGCCTGTGCTTCTGCAGGAGAAAGAAACACCATTACGAATGATTAACTTCAGAGTTAAAAGTCTCGCCACAAGACGACCTTATGGCAGGAGCTATCCTGTCTCATCCAGGTCTGCCGTGTGGAGTGAGTGCTGAAAATTGACATGTGTTCAGCTACGTAACAAGTAATTGTTCTTTGAGTGCAAGGCCAAGGTTTCTGAAGTGATTTGCAACTCTAAGGACTCCTCTTGACAAGAGAAATTGAGGGACCAGACATCAGAAAGGGCCACCAACCCACCTTCCAAAATCTGCACCTACTTGTGGAAGCTTTCACCAGAAACTACTTACATTTCAGGCATGCTGAAGCTCCCCACCTATGAAAGCTGGAGCTTTCTGACAGCTAGTCAAAGCAGTCAGGTCAGCCTACACAAACATATTTATAGATCCAGGGAAGCTAAATGCAGTCAGCTGCCTGCCTTCCAGACACAGGCTGGCTTCATCACATCACTTCACCCCCACCACCTCAACCAACCTAATTTTAGTCACTGGTATGAGGGCTTCCACCACTGCTCGTGGGAGACCATTTACTTCCCAATAAACTATACTGTGCAAGGTGGCAGAAAAGTAACTGTAATAACAGCATCACCATTAAAGACCACACAACCCTCTCTCAAGCGCAGAGTTTAAAAGGGTCAGATCTGGAGCTGGGTAGCTATGTGCCAAATGCAATTACCACAGCGCACAGAAAAACTCTTACTCACTGTCACTAAAATACAGGCCCAGTCTGCTGGGCATTGGTTTAATCTGTTAGGTGACAGCTTGCCTTTTACTGTTGCTGCCACACACACAGCAACACTGCTGCAGATACACAGAAAGGACAAAACGCTCAATAACTCACAAGTTAGAAAAGGAGTTTCTTTTTGTTAATTGGTGACTGAGCAAAAGAGAAACATATTGAAGTATCACCTCAAATTCATGCTACCACAGGGTGAAGGCATAGTCCTATTGGACAGCGGCCAGGGAGATGGGGATGGAATCCCATTAAGTCTCAAGGCATCACTAACAGAGCAAAGATAACAACAGGGGCTCTGAAACAGCATAGTGGCGATACCTTTCTTACTCCTCTGACCTGCTCAAGTGAAGAACTACTTTGCTCAATACATAACAACTCTGGACATTGTAACAAAAAAAAAAAAAAACCCAAACCTTTCCAATGAGAAAAGACAGGAAAGAGAGAGCAGAATCATACCCACGCCCCCTAACACTATGATTTCAGGTGGTAAGAAAAAGCAAGTGGTGAGGCACTCTCAAATGCAGCTTGCAACTCAAATACTCCAGCTACTGTTTTCACTCACACCCTTATACACACATTACAACGTATGTATTTTTAAATCTCACCTTGCAACACATGGAGAAGGTGCTTGTGTTACTCTGGAAGAACTCTGCAGCAAGGAACAGAACTCTTGTTAGGTCTGGGCTACTCAGCTGACATCAGTACTGCAGCCACCCAGCTGGCAGCTTAGTAATATGCATGCCCTACCTTGAAGTGGTCATTCAGGACCCTGGAATACTTTACTGCAGTGTCTTTTTTGTAACGAAACATTGCCATGTGCAGAATGGACTGGGAGCGCATGCTGTGAACAGAAACACACCCAAGCATCAGTGTTCACACTCGCTGCTGCTTGCTAAGCAGTCACCAGCCTTTTGGGACAAAGGCAGGCACACATCAACTGTACTGCAAAGTTAAGAAAGATCAGAATTTCTCCTCCTTCCACTCATCTTAAAAAAAGACTCTTGTGAAAAAAATCATGGGGGTGGGAGGGGGAACAACAAGGAAGGGCCATGTCTGGTCTTTTATATAAACAGGTCGCAGCATCTTTATAGGTGCCGTGGGCTGAGTAAGCTCCCATCCAGAAGTGCCTCAGCTATGTTCAACTACAGCTTCACTTACACAGCTCAAACATGGGCAGCCAAATCACATTCTTTCACCTTAAGTGAAAGCCTGTATGCACTCTCAAGTGACCAGCAGATCAAATTTTAGAGCCTGTGCCTTCCAAGTGTGGTCCCTTGTGATATCCCGGTTCACTTTAGAGATGTTCCAGTTCATTCTGGTTTTTATATTGTGGTTTTTTTTCCCTTGCAGAACTCTGATTCCCGTTTAACTCATTCCTTTGCCCCTGAAAGTAACAGGTCTTTTACTCTATCAAGTCTAAAAACAGAATATGACAGCACAGAAAAAAGGTTACGCACCATAACACAGCAAAGGCTTTTTCATGTGAAGATGCTGAGGAGTCCGTAAAGGATTTCAATGTCATGATGAATCTAGGCAAACAAAATAACAGTATCTTGTCAGCCATCAGTGCTCTGAAGTCCCATGGTTTATGAAAAAACAGCACACGCCATTATCTCAAACACTGGTCCTAAAGCCAGGAAACCTGCCCTGAGCTCTTAGTCCTGACACGGAGTGCTTTGTATGATTTTCAGCAGAGGACTCTGTCTCAAAATACCTTGTTTTCTACGCAGTGGGAACAGATGTGGCCCCTTTTGCAACTCGCTCTCCTCTTACACTGATTAACGGGCAACATCCCTACAAATAGATGCCTCCCGTGGGCCACCTACAAGCCTGGGGGCCCAGAGTAAGTGGCCCCACTACTGAAGATGAACTATTAATTCAAGTGTTTCTGGACATGACAGACATCCTAGTGGAAATGTTTCTTTTGGCAAAAAAACAGACAAGCAAATACACTTTTTGAAAACAAAGCAACATCATCATCTTGGAAACACAGTCCATCAAGACCAGAAAGAAAACAATGTTTGAAGTCTTCCTCAAAAAAATCCCGACAGCTGTTTCAGCTGTAAGGCAAGAAGTCAAATCACCTCTTGAAAACAGTCATGTAACCTGCAATTTCAATATGAATAACCTAATACCTGTCTCTCTTCTATCCAATACAGGGTTCCTTGGGTTGCACTACCAGTGTATGTCACACTATCTACATACATCTACCATAGCTGTGAAATTAAATGAGCAAAGTTGCTAAAAGAAGCTCAAATAAAGTGTACTGGTAGAAAGACACATGGGAGAAACCAGTAAAATAAACCTGCCTTCAATCAAGCTGCAAGACCTTTGGGGCACTAACTGTTCTTCCACACACTATACTGTTGCTTTGCTTTTTTTAACTGAAACACTACTGAGCTCACATGCAAAAGCAACTTCAGATCTGGACAAAGTAAAAACTCCTTCATGTCCTTCACTGTCATAACCAGTGTCCTCTGGTGTTCCTCAGCTGCAAGGCTCAAATGATGAGGAGGACATGGTGCCCACTTTTTCCAATAAGCAATGCTGAAACATTTCAAAGGATCTGTCTCCGGTGCCTCTGGATCGTCTGTCTGTCTCGTGCTTGTACAGCAACCCGAACTCTGCTCCACGGTGGGAATCCAGAGCTGCCACAGTCGCAAACACGCAGTGCAACTAACCTTTCCCCTCCTAATGTGCTGCCTCACCGTCACGCTTTGAAAACCGCTTACTTGATGAGATCTATGGTGTCGCTGAATATGCTGTAAGCTGATTTTGGTGCTTGTGCATCTGATTCCAAGGCAAGCCCATATTCAACGAAGGAAAGGGCAGCATCTAGGTACTGAAAGGCCTTTCCAGTCTTGTCGGTCTGTTGGGAAGAAAATTCTCATTTTTAGACTAAGACGAAAACTACTTCTCTCATGCGTACCTGAATTCCTTTCCTCTCCAGTTAGGCAGGATTTGAAGAAAGAAAAAGATGCAAGTCAGGCCTCTGGATGATACTTAAAGGGTTCTCAGCAGAACCCCCAGTGTGATCCCAGTCATCAGCTTTGTATGCTCTGGCTATTTGCATCTCCTCCTCTTGCTCAATACTTTCCTTGAGTAATTTATTACCTTCACAATTTTTGGATATTATTGTCTGGTCTTGGAGGCCTGCCTTGTGAGAGGTAGATGAGGCTTTCCTACTACACTTCATTTTCACAGGTAAACAGCAAGTAGCAAATGTACATTATTTGACTGAGTTGTAATTGGCAAAAAAATACGTTAATTCATGCACACTGTTAAAACTGCACATAGCAGAGAAAGCCAGTTACATCTGCAAAGGGCACTTTCAAGTCTTTTTCACCAGCAACATAATTACCATCAGGATCCTGATGTTTCAAAATAAACTGTCTTAAAACTAACTGTTCCATCTATCTTCCAAGGTCTTTGTGATAGCTCTGCAAAGCTAACAGGCCTGCTAACCTCAGACAATATCAGTTCTGAATCCTGTTCTCTAGCCGTGTCTACAACAAGGGGAAATGTCTGAGCATCTGGCAAATAAAGACAGCCTCCCCACATATGCCTTGAACATACTCCAAGTATGGAGTATGGAAATAATGTTAGCCAGCGAATCTTACATGCACGCAGGTATCAAGTCCAAATGCAAGAGCTAGTTAACATTTCTAGCACATGTCCAAGGCTTACCATTGCATCAGCTTTGTGCTTCAGCCTCTTGGCCTCTTCTATGTAGTATTCCACCGGATGCTGTCTGAATTGGGGACAGGGAGAGGAGAAACAGAGAAAAAGGGTAGGATAATTAGCAATTTTACCTTCATATCTAAAGAATGCTATGAGTCCAAATATCCTGTTTCAGTAAGTCTGTTACAGCCTTATCAAACACTGTATGATAGTAACTAAATGAATGTTGTTCAGAAATACACAGCAGCTGAATGCACAGATACACTTAAAAAGCGTATGTTAGAATAACATTGAAAACTTACATTTCAAGATGATAAAACACTGGAGGTTAGGCTACTATGAGGCCAGGTTTACTTCTCACCCATGGAAAGATGGTATTATGTGATCTCCTATCCTTCCTCAAGTACAATACTACAAATATATTTTGATTGAAACATACAGTAAACTTTGCAGTACCACACACTCATCTCAAACCAAAAGAGCTTGCATTCAAGTTATCTGCTTACAAGAGTTATGGTCACCAACGCTTCTACAGGTCTTGGTCTCAATCAACACATCAACGACAGTAAAGTTGGACCACACACATTTCTGTGCACTGGGATAATCTAGTCACCAAGCAAAGAGCACACAGCCACCTGTGCGCTAACAAAACAGAGCAAGTAGAGAGTCATGACTTCTCAGAAAAAGTCAGCTGCCAGCCCACCACCTTGTCACAGATGAGTTTGCCAATTGTCAAGAATCAGACAAATCAAAACCCACTGATAGGCAGGCACAAGAGACACCTCCTCGCAGAGTTAAATAGTACCCCATTTCTAGAGTAGCTTTCCTCCAACCAAGAACGGTTGTAATGAGACCTTTGCTTTGTGGTGGGTGGGGTAAGTCCCAGACATGAGAACGCAGTACAGACATCTGTCACTCTCTCTTTCCTCCCAGAAGAAGTGGTCATGAATAAACAGAAGCCAGGGTGGCTGCAGGGCCAGCCTTGCCTGGTGTCTTCAGAAAGTACAGACAGGGGGTGTAAAACAAAAATTTACTTTTCAAACTTCAGTTGAGGTCTCCTTGGCTTGGAGGTACCATTTGGCAAAGAAGGCACTGGGAAAGGATCTGTGACATCCCCTGCAGATCCCTGAGAAAACACAAAGTAGAGATGTAGCTGGTTAGAGAGATACATCTAAATCAATTCCAAAGTCTGGCTTTCCTAAATTTCAAGAGAGAATGTTTATTTGTCCCAGGCAATAGTCTATTCTCCAGGGTCTTCCTCTATGGCTAAGATAGCGGCAAGGCTACAAGCAGCACATTTTTCACGACCACTAGCCAAGGCAGGAACACATATCCATTCACATTTATTTCCAGCTTAACTACACAGCAATTGCTGATTTTCCATTACTCACTACATTATCAGGAAAAAGCAAGCAGTGCCAGCTAATACAGCATGCACAGTCTTGCTTAACAACCCCACACATGACGACAACTTAGACCACACACACCCAGCCACCAGTAAAAAGCAATATAATTGAATCTTATAACCCAAAAATGCAAAGATCCAGTTGCAAGGATCATTAACAATTTTGTAAGAAAGCTATAAAACTTTATACCCAGGTTACCAGACAAAAACACAGGTTGCTTGTTTATTTTGAAGAAATCCACTCTTTCTTTTGTAAACACACTTATTGTCACACCAATATTGTACTTGCAGTTGCCTACAGTCAGAAACAGTTACTACCATAAACATGACTCTCTTGCCTTTAGTTTTTACACGGCCACTCCCTCTCACTATGTTTCACTGGTAAGATGAAAAGAGATGATGTAAAGTCGGCAGAGAAGTTACAACGCAGGCTTTCAGGCTAGCAACATATGGTCACAGATAGCCTTAAAGGGGCAAAAATTCTTCAAGAGGTTTCTCTGGTGGCTGGTTTATCCTCCTTCCTTTTTAATATACTCAGAACACGTTTCTAAAGAGAATCACACAGCACCCAAGGGTCACAGGAAACATCCTGCCAGTTATAACGGATACCTACTTTGATGCCCTTCGACAGTTCAGAGTGATTTCTCTCCACTTTCTTGTGCTTGGAGAACAAAGGATCCTTGCGGTTGCTCTTGCTCCTGGCAGTGTTATCCATGGCAGGCAGCTCACCACTTTCACTTCTGGGTCTCTTTTGGGCCATCTTGGTTGAGTTTGGTGCAGGATGTGCAGGAGACACGGGTGGCAGTGGCGGGGGTAGCAGGAGATCTTTCTTATGGGTTTCAAATGAAGCTTTTGATGCTCTGGAGACGGGAAACAAATTCAGCAATTGGGATGAATATGGTGTACATATAATGTCAGGATTTTTTAAAAACTTAGTTACATCATGTACTAATTCTGTTTCAACTTTTCTGGAAGTGTGAGATGACTTGTTAACATAAAGAATCCAACAAAAGCAAAATGAAACCTCAGGGACTTCATTGTGCATTAGATACCGCATCTTCAGCTGCCAACATCATACAAGCAAGTTGCTTTTCAAGTAGGAACAAGCCTCATGACTTGCCCTTGGAGTAAAGACTTGCAACCAGAACATCAGGATGTTGCAAAAAAGGCTTCCCCTCCAACACAGCCCCTTTCCACTGAAAGAAGGAGAGGGGTAAATACAGCGACTAAAATCCCTGGGACAAATCACCCAACAAGGCAAATGCACTGCCTCTCTCTCCCCATTATGGCAGAAGATACCTATCATGGTCAGAGATACCCACCCTGACACTTGATCCTGCACGTGCTTTAATAGAATTAAACTGCGTTGTTCCTTTAACACTTGCCTGCTCAACGAGACAACACTTAGAAAGCTGAGAGGATTCAAGTGAGAAAGACTTAAAATGCTGTGCTTTTAAATGGCAGAGACTATCATATTTAATAATACAGTGGCTTATCAGATTTCTGATCATCTGAATTTTGGGGTAAGTTTCACCAGATCTACTAGAAGCACTGCAAATGCTATGCTGGAATAAATAAGAAATTCCTGGCGATAAAGGCCACCTGAAATTCCAGACAGAGCCATGATTCGAAAGGCACACTTAGTTGCGTGTCTGTTAGGTCACATACAAAATGGACAAGAAAACAAAATTATTTTAGTGGAGAAGGGAAATGCTCCCTCCCCCCACCCACCTACACAAACAAAATTGTTTTCTGGACTGGGCTTTGCACATTTCACCCCTATACAAATTTGGGCCAGTCACAGTGAAAACCCTATTGGCACTGCAACATCCTGGTTTGGTTAGGGAAAGGGGGAACTGCATATCCGCGTGCTTCTGAAGCATCCCAGTTCAGCAGCCTTGCATGGCAACAAGGTGAGAAAATAGAGGTCTGCAATATCCATCACATCCTCCTCTGTGTTCTCAGCTGGGAGAAGACAGGTCCCACCTAGCACAGACACCCTGTGCACCAGCAGCCAGCCGGTAAGTGCTATTCAAAGCCTGCAACAGGTGACAGCAAAAGTATCTGAGGGATCAGACCATATCAGCATTAACATCTGCCTTTTTTCTTTCATCGGGACCCGTCCAATTAAGAAAAGAGCAATGATCACCAAGTCAAAATTTATGAACATACATTTACACTTACTACAATATCCTTTCCCAAGAGGCTGCCAGAACTCTCTGCTGTGGACACGATCTCTCAGTCACGGGAATGAGAGTCATGACTTCCAGGCCACACTTTCAGCCATTTCACCTGTTTGCAGCGGAAGTCGGAGCAAGCAACTCAATTTGTCTGCACCTCAGTTTCTCTGCGAAACTTGTCCATATCATCTTCTCACCTTACAAAGACTAAGAGCTTTAAACGCGTGTCAAGTGTCGTGAATCTGACAAAAGGCTTTATGCTGCTTCCCACACAGTGAGACCACAAACTTCCCCAAAACAAGTATGGCAGCAGAACCCAGAATGAGGAAGACACGGGCAAAGAAAAAGTTCATAGAATCATAGAATGGTTTGGGTTGGAAGGGACCTTTACAGATCCTCTAGTCCAACTCCCTTTTAAAAGCGTTTTAGAGCTAGTTTCATTTCTCATGAAAGCAGATATAACTGATACTTGAACTCTCAATTCTTACTCAGCTAGAATCATAGAATAGTTTGGGTTGGAAGGGACCTTTAAAGATCATCTAGTCCAAAACCTCTGCAACGAGCAGGGACATCTTCAACTAGACAGCAAGTTCTCTTGCCATCCCCTGAGACCCTATTGTGCAGAACAAGCATATGCTACTCCTCACACTACAGCTGCCACCTCCTAGATCATCTAGGGCAATCATCTGCTGACAGACTACTACCATTGTAGTTTGGAGAAGGGGAAATGTCTCCAGCAGCCCAATAGGCAGGCAATCTACCACACTGTTTGCAACTCCAACAACATATAACTTCTGCACAAATTTGTTTCCTGCATCTGGTCTGAAAGACAGCAGTGCAAATAGTTGCCTATCAGCTTAGAAGCAAAAGTAGTATGGGCACAACTGGCAACTAAATTTCTTGCAGCATACACAGATTTTTTCAGCTACGTGTAACATATGGATCACAGCATGCAGCAACACAAGCTGCGGGATGGATAAGTTCATGTCTAAAATGGTGAAGTTTTCATTCCGATCTCAACTGTTAGAAATCAGGACAAATGCCACAATATTCAACGCTTTTGCAGCAGTGTAAACCAATTATGGAGGATGACCAGGCACTGAAACATCAGCTTATGCTTGAATGATTAGAACCATAATCCTCAGCATTAAGAGAGAGGAAGATAGGTGACAGCAAAGTATCACTTCACATCTGCAACAAATAAGAAGGCAAATAAATTACATTCCCATAGCCACATAGTTGGTTTCAGAATGTAAGGATAAATCTGCAGCAGATTAAGTTTCAGAAGGCACATTATGTTACAAGCAAACTCATAAGTATGAGGACAGGATATACAGTTCCTCACCTCAAGCTTTTTAAGAAAGACTTAGTTTTATGCATCTTTCTGTCATCCCACCACTGTATACTCACTTTAATTTATTGGAGTCTTTGTTAGCCGAAGACTGCAATGATTTTGTTTCTTTTCCTGATTTCATTTTCTTCCTATCAACCTCCTTCTCCACTTCCCTCTAACAGGAAGAAAAAACCAGAAAGAAAAAAATCACTCAGGTTTTGAAAGTTCATGTAAAGTACAAGACGGAGACAACTAAAATTCATCGATTCTAGTTAAAAAAAGTAGGTAAGAAGAAAGATAAGATATTGGAACTGACAAAGTGGAAACCCAGAGCACAGCGGATACAGATTTCAGACTCACTGACAAGTATCCTAAAACGATATTTTATATACTTTTGCTTGGACAGATTAATTATTTTGTATTGGTGGGGATAGAACTGCTAAATCTCTTGTTCCTAATCGTAATCAAAATTAAGGCACTTCCACTGCTGACAATAAGCATTTCATCTGTTCTGTTGGGTTTTTTCTCCTACTCAGTATGAATGAGACAGAAATGTACTCAGTTTCCTCCTGCCAAAGTCATGAACTGCAAGCAATTGTGTTTTGTGATATGCCTTATCACAGAGAAGGAAAAAAAATACATTCACAGGAGAGTTAGATCACTCAGATTCCCAAGATGTGCAGGGTTTTTTGGTTTTATTAACAAGAATCTGACATAGGTGAAATTTTAAACAGTCAGTTAAAATCACTGCCATTGTCTTGGGAAAGAACAGGAAGCATTAAGGCAGAGAGGTAATAAATAATACTTTTTAACTGCACTCCATAGATCGGTGCAATACAAAGCGTGTAAATCATAAGCTCACCTGAATGAAAAACTTCAGAACAATTTGCTACAAGCCAAGAAAATGTAAACAAACCTGCACTTTTCAGTCAGTATTACCTTCAGCATGCCTAGTGGTGGCCAAAAGCATTCCAGGACTTTCTGTCTCTCTCCCAAGAGTACATCCGGGTTTATGTCACAGCGATGGAGCTCAGTGGGTTGTGCTCGGCCCAGAGCCTACCTCTGGCAGTGTGCTCAGGGCAAGGCTCCAGCACCTAGATCATGTCCTTAAACTGTTTCTCAGGTTGAGCTCCACACTCTTGCAAAAGATGTCTGACAGCTGTACCTGACCTAGCTGGCTACGATGAAGCCTGAGCCTCCAAGGACACTGATGTATGCTGACTTAATACAGACGGCAAGGCTATGAGATGGGTTTTCCTGCAATCAGACACTCAGACTACAAGGGAAGACATGTCTAACATCAAATAGCTCCTCTCTTGGGTCTCTGAGACAACAGGCGAAACGACAGATTTACTGCCTGTTTCTCCTGCCACTCTGCAAGAGGGGGACTGCCAAGGTCTCTCAAGTTTCTTCATCATTTCCCTGCTCTTCTCCACTGTCCTCCACAACTATTGGAAGTTCAGAAAATGACAAGACTAGATGAAACCCACGTGGAAACCAAGGTTATTCACCCACACACGCTAAGCCACCCACTCTGTGAGGGCCACCAAAAAAGTATACAGGTACCGAAATATCCACAGTGAATACCCATTCACCATAAGGCCTGCAGCCAACCCTTTGTGCAGCTGAACCAGCTGGCTGGACATATATTCACAGTCCCCTTTGGGAGTCAGCTTTCCAAAAACCACTTGTGCGCAACTATCATCTCAGTTAAATAAAAGTGCTGTCTTGTAATTCAAGGGAAAGCAACTAACACAGCTGAAGGACTCTGCAAAGGGGTCTCTGGTAAGCCCCTTACTAGACACATGCATCTTTTCAGCGTTAGCATCACTGCTAGCACCACAGAGAAGTTTTTTCTGCGTATTTATCCAAGCGCTGAGATACAAGGCTGGGTTTAGTGATGGTTGTAACTATCAGTGACCTTGGTTCAGTTAGAGGTCTGCATTTATGGAAAAGCAAAAGGAACGGGGCTGCTGCCATCTCCCCTAGCTCACACCTGCAGAATTCGTTCCTCTTTGCGTAAGCAAGCAATCACAACTGTTTCATGGAAGTAAGTGACTCCACACAGGAAAAGACTACACTACTCAGACTGACATTGCATGGCAAAAGGCAGCAGAAGGTGCATACATGGAGAAAATTGAAACCCACTGACCAGGGCGGCCTGGGTTGGTTCTCCCTCTGGGCACCCCACAAACTGCAGGCAAGGCGCTCTCCCACAGCAGACATTAGATGGATGGTGCAGATGACTGCACAGTCTGGAAGGTGCCTCAGATACCCTGCTGCTTTTAAAGGGGCTGGAGGGGGAGGGGGCACTGCAGCCCTACAAAGCTCTGCTTGGGCTGAAAGCTGGAGAAACCCACAAATGCTACCAGGGGGCTAGGCAGCCATATGCTGACACAGCCTGCTGCCAAAAGCTCCTCCAACACAGGAGGGCTGGGGTTTTGTTGTCTGAGAAAACTAGTATTTCAAGAAAACACAGCAAAATGTTTTAACACACCAAAGCATTTGTTAGCTTACAGGGCGCTTCATTTGCTCAGCAGGGGATTTGTGACCAACAAGAAACATCTGTGGACAGTTTTGATACACACTCCCTTTAGAAGTCTGATAACACCTTTATAGGAGGAGCGTAATGGGTCCACTCCCAACCTATGAAGTGGAAATGAACTCTCCGTGTGGGTTTTTCAAACACCACCTTGGTGCTTGTACAAACCCACCTCCATATCTCACCTTCCTCTTTTGAAGGGACTTGTCAGGAGTATCCGTGGTTTTCCGCTCCAAGTCCTGCTTCCTTGCACTGGGGAGTTCCTTGGTCTCTGCTCTCTTCTGGTGACTGCCTTTCCCAGGGGGCTGGGGGACTCTTGACAGGAGAGGGAGATCTATTTTCACCATGAGGGACTGAGGGGCGAGGGAGTCCCTCACTGGCGAGAGCAGCTTCTTCTCCCTGATAGGTAAGGGCAGTTTCTCCTTGTGAAAATCCTCTCTGGCCACGATGGCAGGCCTGTGGCCATTAGTCCTGGTGGGGGTTGTGCCCTGGCCTTGAGGAAGGGGACTGAGAGCAAGATGCTCCTGCACACTGCCAAGCAAAACATCTCTGATGACCTTGGGGTCCAAGAAGGGTTTGGCGTTGGTCTGGTGGGAGCTCTTGTGCTTTCTGTTCTCAGGGGGCTCTTGCAGTGCTGGCTTCAGGTCTTTTCTGTCACTGGATTTTGTCTTCCCTTTCGTTTTTACTTTCGGCTTGTCTCTGGAAGACTGGTCTCTGACCTCAAAAGGACCAGGGTCACTCTCCACCTTCAGGTCTCCCTTGGGCCCCTCATGCACCAGGGCCTTGCCAGGCCTTTTGATGCCCACAGTTTGCCTGGGCAAGGGCTCCTCAGTGCACACAGGAGACTTGTGGCAGTTGTGTTTGGTCAGAGCATAAGTGTCCTGAGAAGCCCCAGCTGCTGGGCCTGAACTCTTGTGATGAGACTCCCTTGGCTCAGTCTGCTGGTGGGAGGAATTGCTGCTGACGCCCTGTCCCTGCTCCTTGCCCTCCTCACGTCCATCCTCATGGGATGAGAGAGTCTCACTGAGACTCTCTGGTGGCACTGCTGGTGGATTCACCTTGGTTAGCCAGTTGTCGAGCTGCCACTTATTAGAAGTTGGTGGGTCGGGCTGCAGACAAAAACAGAAAGGAAGGATGCAAGACCGATGCCTTTATGGACTACTTCCATCCTAGCACAGCTTACTAGTATCCAGTAAAATTTCCCCTTAGTGTTAATAGAGCTTGAAAGTGAAAGACCATGAGACAGTGGAGATGCTCTAGCGTGAGCACATCAACACTTACTTCGGAAACACAGACCTTGGTTTTGCACAGGATCAGTCATATGTGTTGCACAGCACTCCTGGATCTCTGCTAGCCCTACCTGTCACTCAGTAGAGACCGGTATACATGAAAGCTTCATCTTGCTTTGCCACCAGCCAACATCATTGCACAATCAGACAACGTATGAAAAAAGCAGCAATTGTAAAAACAGATTAGGTGCTGTCCTCGTAATGCTTTTGGATAGCTATTTGCACACAGAACTGCTTTCAAAATGGACAAGGAATTGTGCCAGCTACCACATCTCACTGAAGTCTGACAGGCAGGCTGTCAGGCTCCTGTGGTTCAACCAAAAGAAAACCATTTACCAAAGGAAATTGCATGGCTAGCACATGAAGTCCAGACTCTTCTGGGTCCTCTGCCTACAACCCAACACTCGCTTTCCTCTGAGTCAAGCAAGGCATGAGCAACAACTGAGGTCTGAAGGCCTCTGGAGTCACAGTCAGACAACATAATGTGGTTCCAACAAGCCCTGCCTAATCTAACAGTAGTCTGACAAATTATGAGGAAAGCAAACTCAGCTAACCCTAAAACAGAAAACGAGCTGCAAATAAGGGGCATGATTCTCTGGGGCCTGTTCTAAAAATACCATGTATGTGTCAGCATCACTATAATGTGTAGCTCGTTATCTGGGCACCATCAGAGCACAGCTACACTCCTGCCGTCACTGACCGCCCCCAGTCACAACTCTCACTTCTGAGAAGAGACACAACTCTTCCTCGAAAAGAGAAAGCCTAATACATAATCGGTTTTCCAAGACTAATGAAACCCTTCTACCATGACTTTCATCTCTATCCAGACTCAACTTGTTGTAGAACACATGGATAAACAGGACATGTCTTCAACTGTGTTTGAGTGAGTCAATCTAGAAACCTGGTTTAAAAAACAGCCCTTGGTTTTACCATGGGATTATAAGTAAAATTAAACCACAAATCCATTATACTTTTCAGATAACACAAATCTGCTTTATTTTCATTAGAATTTTAACTTAGTAGCCACTGAAGAACATTTTTTTAGTCAAACATTATAAAAGCATGGCCAAAAGACTTAGTAAACTTTGGTTTCTAATGTAGGCAGCCATCAGACAGTGGCATACTCTGATCCTTTTCTAGCACTTCTACCATTGGTTATCTTGTTTATGATCTACACCGTGATACAGGTTTTCCAAACACAAAAGATAGTAAGAGAGGTTTGTTATTTTTTTATTTTTAATTAAAACTAAAAAAGAAGGAACTACTGCCTATGAGTCTTAAAGTCTGTGCTTTTGCATGTGAAGAACTGACTATAAACAAACGGGCCGCGTGCACTAACTTGCTCCTTGAGCACCACAGATGAACAGTTTACTGAATAAAAAAGGATAAAATGGAAAATAGCTAGGACTTCACTAGAATGATAAGGATCTTACAATCTAGTATCTTCAGAACAAACCAGGCAGGATTTGGTAAAAGAGAAGTAGTATAACATCTGTTTCATTCCAAAGACACCCACATTGTAGAGGCCAAAGATTGTAACTGAACTGCTGGAGGATAAAGAGTATTAGATGTGAGATGAAACGACATGCCTTCTCAAAGCTTGTTTTCTGCACATAAAATTCTCCCTGTTCACGTGTTTCTAAGGCAACAAAAGGAAAACTAGGGCTGGGGGAGGGAGGGAACAAATAAATTACAAGGTTTCTGAGCTTTGTGAGAGTACCTCAAAACTGTCAGCAGACTGGTTTACATCAGCTGTGGTCCATAGGATATAACCACGCACTTCCCACTGGCCTTAGAATGTCCTGAAAGCTGGAGGAACTGTTTGAAACCATGGGACATGAACACTTCTGCAGCAGATGTTTAAAAAAACGCTTGGTGTTAATTATGAAACTTCAAGGCACCAAGTTCTGTCTGTCTGCTTTTCCCAGTAAAAGTTCAGAAATGCCAGTGCAGCGCTATCCAAGCCAAATTGAACAGAAGCAAGTCTAAGCACATTCCAGACCTTCCTGCAGGTCTGATCACTTCAGCTGCAATCTAGGAGAATCTGAATCTGTCACTGAATCTCCTGTGTATACAGGAGCTGCAGGGAGGCAGCAGCTCCTCTTCACATATCAAGAAACTGGTCTAACCCTGAAGCAGCCCATAGCCTCAGCACCCAGAAAAGCTGCACAGGCAGAGGTGGGCCGTGAACACCCCAGACAAGCCATGCCTCTCATCTGTGCCTTGCTTGTGTTTCACTGAGTGAAGGCACTAATTCCTCCAGGAGAGCCAGAAAATGATACCAAAGCAGAGAGGGGAACACTTCAAAGTTAGGCGTGCAGAAGTTAATTGTGCTTTTATTAAGGGTTATTTAATTGACAAACTCTAGAGGGGAAGCAAAGGGCAAGAAAAGTCTCATGAAGCAGCAAAGATGCCAAGGGAACAATGACAGTATTTCTGGTCTCCTGTCCTGACTGCATTCAGACAGTAGAGGGTCTGAGGCAAGAGGCTGCATCAAGCAGCACTTTATTTGCATTCACCTCAGGCGCTGACGCTCTCGGAGGGTTGTTTGCTTCACTGTCACTCGAGTTGCTCTCCGTCTCCGAGTCTGAAGAGCTGTCTGAGTCACTGGTGCTCCCTGACTCTGGGCTGCTGGAATGTGCTGATGCCACACTCTTGGGCTGGGACTGTAGGGCACTGCAAGGCCACCATGAAATAAAATTAGAAAGCAGCATGGGTGAAGGTTACTTACTTATTATACTGACATGGCAGGATTAAAAAATAAAACTGAAACTCCATGTTTTGGCACTGAGAGGAGAAGGGAGAAGGCCAAAGGAATACATTGCCATACTCAAAGCAAACCTCTGAAAATAATAAAACCTTCAACTCCAACCCAGTCAGACAAATACGTAAGCAGGACGTCATTGCTACAATATAAAGCTGCATTTAGCCAACCAAAGTTTAAAAAAACAACTGTAACTGACAAGTGCTTTTCTGAAAGCCCCAACCCTCAAAGGAAAAATTTCCAATAAAAGCTAACAAGACAGAGACATATATCCCAGGATGGTTTCTCTTTTTTGTGTTCTCCCCCCTTGATTTTCCACTTCTTCATCTGCATTACTTGGTCAAGGTGCTGTAACCATTTTGTTAACAGCCATGTCAAGCAGCAGCATTTTTTGCAACACCTTCCCCTACCCAGAAGTGTTTTCCTCCAGCACTGACAACGGGAGTAGACGGAACTGAGGGAGAGCCATGATTTTTATGCACAGCTTCTTTTTGTTTTTTTTTGTTTTGAAATGGGCTTATGAAATCAAAATGTTGATTTTTTTTTTACTTTGAAAACTGTTCTCTGTCAGTATTAACCCATTTGTATGATTTGGAGGCAAGCTCCTTGCTGATCCAGACTGATATCATGAGAACACTCTATTTCAAGAGCTTGCAGAGACGCAGACCATGCCAACAATTGGCGTGCCCTTCCGCAAGTCTGACTTTGTAGACCATTAGACTGTGGTTTAAGAATACAGATATCAAGCCAAAAAAGTACATCAATGCTCTCCTATACGAAAAATTCTGGGCTTCTCCATTCTCCACCTTTCTTCCTCTAATGCTGGCAAGTGGCTGTTCCATCTACCTTGAATATTGCTTCCAACTAACAATACATGGCAGGAACTGCTTACAATCAGTCGCCTTGTCAGGAGAAGCTGAAACAGCCTCAGTGAGTCTAACTAACCCTTTTCTGTTCTTCACCCACTTGCCTCTTTTGGGCTTCCTTCTGAACTAAAACTGGACTCACACCTCACCCATCACTACTGCAACTGAAAATCCCATTAGCTCCAGTGTGATCTTGGTCTACATATACAGCGGTGGAGGGGGAGAAGAGAAGGGAACAGTTGGGGAAACAGAATTCTGGTTCATAGGCAAAATCCAGCCTGGATTATTCATTGCTAACCTGAGCTTTCCGTAAAACCCCACACAGCTGAAGCCAGTTTTGAACAGCAGTTTCAGGCAGCTAGAAACCAAAGCCTCTATCTACAAGAGAAACCAGGAACCCTTACCCATCTACCCCACATGTAAAAAGTAGTTTTGTTTTTCCTCCTTATTTGGTCTAGCTAGTAGTTTGGGAACAAAACTGTACCTTGGAGGAGCAAGTGAAGAAGGTGGCTTTTCAACAACCTGTTTTGTTCACAAAAACAAAGAGGGGGGGAGGAAAGGTTAGCTTAAGGAACTCAGAACAATTCAATAAGTCGTGATGATTTAAAGGGATGTCTGTGTGCCTACTATATAGAACATCTAAAACTGACTTGGTCGTCACCACTCTCTTCACTATCACTGAGCTGCAGGTCGTCCTGGAGCGTTCTGAAAGACAACCAAAAGATAAATATCAGCCAAGGCAGACACATTTTCAAGCAGCAGACACTGAAAAAGACTTGGTTTGCACTTGCCAAAACAAACCAACCTCCCATATCCTTTTTGAACATTCAGCACGCTCAATCTACTAAATCCTGTCATCACCTGAATGAATGATAAAATGCTAACACACAACCTAGGCATTTTACCGTGCTTTCCAACTCATGATATTTTGCAGTGCAGGTCAGTATCGCTGGCTGCCATCTTACAGACAACGAAGATGCAGATCTGTGAGGGGAATGCTCCTCAAAGGTTGCCTAGCACACTAACACAGCAGGGCAGGGTAGAAGGAGTCTTATCCTTTACAGCAAGAGACTAGCATGCTATTAGCCTGCACTGGCTCCCCAAGGGGCAAAAAGCATCATCTTTGCACCAGAAGCTGTCCATGTTCACGCTCTCTGCTCAAAAGGGGTGTGAATATTTCTTCAGTCACAGGCGTTCTTTTTTTACTGTTAAAGTCTCCTATCGCACACACATAAGTAAATGCCAACATCAAGCCTATCTCCTATTTCTTCTCTACACAATGAACTTCATGCTCCTGCACATCTCAGCGGTAATGTTAACATCAAGCAGTTCAGACACTCAACACAGTTTACAAGTGAGGAGGCACGACCTCTGTTTTACTATTGCCAGAGTAGAGAGCAGGCTGCCTGCAAATGTTTCCAAAAGCATAATTTAGTCATCTGCCTGCAGGTGGTAACTACTGCTTGCAATTTCAATACATTACTGAGGTCCTCAAAAGGCTGGAAGGGAAGGATCTGTGGGGAGGAACCCAAAATTCTCCCAAAATGTTATCCCCCTCTTTGGCAATGATGCAGGCATCCCAAAAGGAGCTGCAACACAGAAAGGTAAAACTCACGCTATTCAAAAGTATAGTGATTCAAATCTTGAAACTAGCTGGACACCACTCCACAACCCAGAGAATTACACAAGTGTCATTCCAAAAATGGGATAACACGCTTGGGAACCAAGACAGGGATTTTAATCAATCAGGTCAAAACTCCCATTTATTTCAACCTCATTTCAAACTAAGGGCTCTCTGAGAATTTTTTCTCATGCCCAAGTAAGAAAAATAAGCCTCTAACCCCTCATGACAACAAGCAAGAAAACAAATATGAGAGATCCCCAGTGAACCACATCACCTTGGAAAAGTGAGGAGAGGGTTAGTGTTCCTGATGCTTGTTAGGAAAAGGAAAACTGCACAAACCTTCAGACTCTTTCAAGCCTTCATGTCAAATTATCAAGAAAACAAAAAAGATTTACTGCTTTGTGGGTCACCTCTAATGACCCTGAGCAGTTTGTTATTATGATTCCATGACAACAGAGGAGTAAAAACCTTGAAAATAGAAGTGATTCCCTTATTTAAACACTGTCCTCACTAACTAGACAAATTATTTTACACTCATACCAAAGCAGGTGACATGCATAGGGATACTTTCATTGAAACAGGACCGTGTTTACTGCTGAATCTGGCCACAGTCTCACAACAAACAACAATTTCACACACTAGAAGTGATGAATCTGCTCTTGTCCATGGAGCAGGACAGCATGAAGAAACCCCAAAGGTCTCCCGTGTCTACCAGCAGAGAGCCAACCCCTCCTGCAAAGGTACTGACCCCACACTCCCCAGGTACCTCTCACTGATGCAGAAGAGGCTCTCAATGCCACAAGGGCTCTGTTTGATGACACTCGTGAAGACCTATGTGCTTTCTTTGTTCAGGCATTTTGACTTCGCCATTCCCTCATGACTATCCTTGTCCATATCCCAGCCTCCACTGCCTCATTTCCTCATACATTTTCTTGGTGGAAATCACCTCTTGCCGCTTCTTTTAGAGTAAACACTGAAGGGAAGCACTAGAAGACACCACCTTGGAAAATCAGGCCCCTGAATTTCCTACAGAAGGCAAACGGCATGCAGTCTGCAGCAATCCTGCACGTGCCAGCTTCGCAAGTGGGCTAAAGCTGAAGCTCACTGCCAGTCCACCAAGACACAAAAAAGGAAAAAAAAAAGAATAGCAACAAAATACACCCACTCTCCACACTTCTGGGTAGTTTGGCCAAATGTCTACTGGCATCTCAACGCATTCTTTTTATCTTTTTTCCAAGCCATTAGGGGAAGTACTCCTTCAAAGGTCATAATGAACAAACTTCCAGGGATGGTATTACGTTCTCAAATTGTTTTCATTTTTTTGTTTTGCTTGAAGAATTGTGAACTACACATGCATTTCCTTTAGAGGTAAGAGGATAATGCAAGAAAACACTACCTAAATCTTATTTTAAATCTGATTTAAATTTTTGTAATAAAAAGGACTGCCTTTTTCGCTTGAGCTGCTGGTAAATAAAATGCATCAGCATAAAACAACATTGCAACTACCTAAGTTCAATTTAGGATCAAGGAAGAACACTAAAACTTTAAATGAGTCACACTTCTGCGAGGACAGCCAAAACCAGTTTCCCCAAAACAAGGTTTCAACAAATTGTTAAATAGCCTAGTTAAAGAAAATAAATCTGTTTTAATAATTTAAATGCTTTAATTAGCTCAGGAGTTAATAGATGCCAAGTTTTCATTTGCAGGACCTGTTCTTTGCAGCTTATACACATACCATCAATCTCCCTGTAAAGCTGTTTAAAAGGAGCTCATTTATCAAGAGAAGTAGCACTAAAATTAATATTGCTTGCCAAACAACCTCACTGAAAGCACAGGCTGGTCCCTCTCTGTCAGCCGGGTTAAAGATGCATCACCAAGAATGAGCTTGGCACCTCCCCTTTTAAAAGGAGGGCTACTTCCATTCCAGTGCAGCCAGGTGCTGACTTTGGGGCTATATTCAAGAATGAAAGCCATGTGGGAAACCCACGCATGCTCTGTAAAGCTGAATGCTTAATTTGGGCACACAGATGCACTGGGATTTCAACTTTTAATTAACCAGCACAAGTGCTGTTTATTTTCAGTCAGCTACACTTTGTAACGCAAGCTACTCTAGACAGCTGAATTTTCAGACATTCACGTGCACTTTGAGCAGCAAAGAAAGCAAGCTCTGCTGTGCCAATGAAAACAGAAACAAAACAAAAAAGAAGGGACGCATCTGTTCAAGGGAAAGATGTAGAGGAAGTCCTTGGGCAAATCTCACTTGACTAATTTTCAGACTTCAACCTAAGGTGCCCTGCTCCTCCTGCTTCAACTGCGTTTGTGGATTGTGGGTACACCTGTCCCTGGTAGATGAGCGCTGGCTCTGAAGTGCCTGCAAGGACGCTGAGCAGAGAGGGTTTGTTGGCTAAGGACAGAGCTATGTACCATGCCAAATTGACAATTCTGGACCTTTGGGCTAAGAAAGGAGTGTTTTCAGATTCTTGTCTACAGTAAGAGTCTCTTCTCTCTCTGCTGCCTGGAAAACTGACTAGCATGCTAGAGGGATTTTTACAAGCAGCTGAGATGATTTGAAATTAAGATGATGGTTGCATGGGTAGCTGAGGAGGGAGGCAGAGCCTAGAGCAGTTGAAACTAGTATTTTCAGTAGTGCAAGGAAGATTTCCAGAAATCATTCAGGAGGAGCAAGCTGGGGTGGAAGAAGAAGGAGCGAAATAGAGTGGATTAAGGGAATAGCTGACTGCTCAGCTACTATCCCACACTCCCAGCCAGTGAGAGCTCCTCTGCATGATGCTGGAACAGTATGAAAAGGGTTGTTTTATGGATCTTACAGAGCTTGAGTGTAAAATTCTGCAATCTCAACCAAGATGGAGAGATGCTCTTCCGCTTACTTGTGACTAGCTGAGTTTTGGGGGTTTTTAATAAAATTGTTCATGATAAGGAAAAGGAAAACAGGTGGAGTAAGCTTTGTAGTCTGTAGTTTGTAGCCTTCCATGAAACAACATATCATGGAGTAACATGAGATCTTCATATATCACATAAACTGAAAGGCATTTAATGGTTCAGTAATTGCCTTGCACATAAACACCTTAGCCTTCCCAATGTGGAAAGATTTCTATTTGTCACTCAGAGCTCAGAACATATCAATGCTGCCACCTGGCCAGGTTAATCCTGAAAGACTAACATCAGCCCACACAGAACTACTTTCAAGCAATTTCTGCAATTAATCTAATTAATAGATAACCACTTTCACCTACAAGGACAGCACCAAGTATTTTATCTACAAACTTAACATTTTCTATTGGAGTGATTTATTTATTAGTTGCCACTTCTTCCTAGCCTTGTAAAACTTTTGTATTGATTATGCATAAACATCTTACAGTGAGACTCAAATTCTAAGAAGCTTTCTTCTGAGAGAAAACATAACATGATAGTTCTAAGAAGCTTTCTTCTGAGAGAAAACATAACATGATAGGAAAAAGAATAAATACATACAGAAAAGTAGAAATACATATATAATATTGAAAAGCTATAGAAACGTCATCTTCTTCCCACTTTGCAGCTAGCTAACATAATTAGAATATAAACGGAGGTTTTTAGAAAGTCCACATGAAAGTTTTGTTTGTTTGTTTAGTTTTTTAAAATAAAAATAAAATTAAGACAACACTTTTTAGAAAACTTTTCCTTGGGCAGTTGTGGAAAGTTACACCATACAATTGCTTTAAAATTTCACCCCTAGTTTTCACAGTTTTTGTAGCTGTAGTTTTACTAGCCCTGACAGGCTTCAAAACAATATGCAGAACAGATTGAATTCAGTTTGTATCCCTTATAATTTACATCAGTTGAATGCATTATTAGTAGTTTGAACAGCACTAAGTGTGACAAGACATTAAGTAGCCACAGACTAACAGAGCAAAAAACCCTTCAATCTGGTACAGTAATAGTTGAGGGTTTTTTCTTCAGTTTTAACACAGTCATTATAATCATGAAACAGTAATGTTTCTGTTGGTGAAAATTCCCTGCATTGAAATTTTCTGTGAAAAAAAAAAATCAGACTGACAAAACCTTAATCTTTGGAATAATCAAGTAAACCAAATTTTAATTCATTCCAAGTTCTTTTAAGTAACTGCACAGTAGAGATGGGAACTGAGTCTGGTTACTTACGAAATTCTTGGGTGAGAACTAGGCAATGTTTTTGAAGGTGCGTCATACTGTTCTGTAAATCAAAAATGAATTGGTTGGTTTTATTCGACTCATTTGTAGCGTATTTTACCCTATGGTCTCTTAGCATCAGGTTAGAAAGTCACTTTCTTCCAGGACATAACTGTTCGCCATTGAGATTATTCATGACTCCAAATGCGGTTTCCTAACGAAATACTGTCTGTTCTCTGCTGAGCTGCTGCCTTTATTTCTAGCTAATGACCGTATACAATCTCTTCAGCATTTTCTACATTCATCCCTATTCAGCAAAGCACAGGAAATCTTGCTCCTTAATCAATGTAAACATCTGACGTTCTCCTCAACACGTAACACACAACACAACACTATCTGTCAATACACACATAATAATGTGTTTTCTTTGGATTTCTACTTACTCTGATTCTGTGCTACAGATCCAACATGCTGTGATTCCTAGAAAGAAAGGACAAAGTGCAAATTGAAAATAAAATAAATTAGTCTCTCTTAATATCAGTATATTGATGATTCATTTTTCATGCCATACTTACTATAATAAATATTTTGACTAACTTGTCAAAGCATGACTTTGAAGTGTCCAATAGTCTAAGCTGGCCTGACGCAACTTAGCATGGACAGAAATGATAAGTGCTACTGCCATCAAAAATGTGTTGCTAGCATGTTAGTGGCACATGCATTTTTGAAGAAATATTAAAAAAAAATTGTAAGAGCTGCCAAACACTTCTGTTCAACAGTCAGAAAATATTTTTGTTGACAATAAAGACAAAAATATTTTTTGTGCTGCAGAGATGTTTAGAATTTTTCTGAAAATGAGTCACATTTGAAGCCCACGATAATAACAAACATGCAAGTCACTGAAACATTACCCAGTCATCCCCCCCAAAATATCTTACAACTGTAAAAATAAAAAGTTTACTTAAAAAAACAAAAAAGAGGAAAGATAATTACACTACCATATAGTCCACTCCAAAACAAATACTCAGAAGCACAATCTAATCTAATTCTCAGTAAAATGATGTGCAAGCAGCCATTATACAACTCGAGATCCATTGTGCTTTAACTTATATGACTACTTCTAAAGATAATCTCTCCTAACAGCCTTTACCTATGAAAGGGGGACAAAATGAGGTGAAAACACATGCAAGAGCCAGAAAGCTCTCTTGTAATTTTATCAAAAGTCCTAGCAAAAAGAGGGTGTTTTACCTTTGTTGGGAACGGAAATTTGGAAGGCTCTGCTGTACTAGGTGTATGAATAGCTGTCAGGGGAGGTGGCCATGAGTGAGTCATTTCCTGCAAAGAGATTGAGAGAAGCAGCTTACAGGATTTTTTACTGATACACACAGGTGAAGTTTTATACTTCAAAGATTTACATGGATCCACCAAAAAAGTCCTTGCTGACCCAAACGTAAACCTGAGAGACAGTACCGCAGTAAGAAGCCCTCCTTTGAGTGCAGCAGCCAGACTGTGGTGAAGACTTGCTCCTTTTCTGCAAGCATACTTGTATTGCCCAAGTAACAAAAATCTCAGTGAAGCCTGTAGAGACTCAAGTACTTACTGTGTTTGCAGGATTAAGCCTCAGCCTTACAGCTACCACAATTAATAAAGGGAAAGGCAAATAAAACCCGTATATGAATAATTCTGGGTTTCTTCAAAGCATAAGACTTTCCTGTTATGGAAGTTCTTATATTCCCATACAGCAACAACACTCTGAAAGGCTTTTTGTAACTCAAGGAAGTCAGCCAGAGAGCTCTGACTGCCAGCTGTTCCCCATGCTATTCTGCCTGAAACCTTGGCTTTTGCTCTGACCAACCAAGACGTCTTGGATGCAGACCTCCTGGACGTGGTTTCAAACCAAAGAATGAGACCGCCCAATGTGCTATGTCTTTAGGAATCCTTCTGCCCTGTTCCCCTGCCCTTACTCTCACCCAGCATCACTATCAGGTACGGGCTTCTTGGGCTCAGCCATGGTGCAGGTGAAAGCAGAGCAGAAACACCACAGCCATGGGACAGGGCTCAGAAGGCGAGATCAGCCTCCAGCCTGCCTCTTCTGGCATCACAGCTGGGCCCAGACAAGTGTGCTAAAGCCTTGGCTTGCACTGCAATAAACACATACAAAGAAGCCTAGCACAGACAAGGATCTTGGTCTTGAACATACACTAAAATACCTTAATGGGAGTTAATCTACATGAGGCCTTTAGGGAATTTGGGGCTCAGAAATACAGAACCACCTTGCTGAAATCACACAAACCAGATTTTTCCATTTTGATTCTCAGGTTTTAAATCCTGAAGAGCACAATAGTCACTCGAAGAAGTAAGTGAATTGCAATGGCCTGCCATCCTCACTGCCTTTCCAAGGAAGGGCTATCTCAGGATTTCCCCCCAAGCCCAACATCACCTCTGTACTCCAGGTGTGCACCCACCATCCCCACCCAGAGCAGCTGTCATCACAACCATTCCCTGCCAACTTCCCAAAGAAAGCAGCATGCGGAGTGACACAATACTGGCACTTTGCTCAGCTCAGAAAGTCAGGAATTACGTTCATGCTGAATGCATCTCATGACAAGCATGCACCACATGCAATTTGCCCAGGGGCTTAAAAGAAATTAATGAGGAACATGTCAGTGCAAAGCACATTTTTGTACTTTTGTAGACTGAAGTGTGAAACTCTCTACTGTGTCATAATTTACAAGTGCCTTTTTTTCATCACGGCACAAATATGAAAGTTCAGAAGTGTCCCTAGTTTCCTTATCTATTAGGAATAACATGAAATGCACAGATTTACAGGGAATGATACCACATTGTTACCTTTGGTTCTGTAAGCAGGGATCACAGCATTCTACAGGGGTTTCTGTGCAAGAACTAGAAGTAGCCTACAACTAACCTGGGTAACTATTTGACCGCACTGTTACCACCCTCACTTTCTCCCTTCTAGCTGTTCAGTTCATTGTTCCCTTCACTTCACTCACTAGCTGTACAATCTTTCAATAGATGGTAAACTCCTCAATATACTGCACTACACCTCTCCATGTATTCGCACATGCTTCCCTGTGGTTGCTACAAAAATAGTGTTATGCATTACTAACAGGCAAGAAAAGAGGATGTCTCGTGAAATATGAAAGGATGCAGTACTTTGAGGCGGAGTACTCATCACAGCATGGTAGGTGTTGGAAGGGATCTCTGTGGCTCATCTAGTCCAACCCTCCTGCCAAAGGAGGGTCATCTACAGCAGGCTGCACAGGACCTCGTCCAGACGGATTTTGAGTATCTCCAGAGAAGGAGACTCCACAACCTCCCTGGACAGCCTGTTCCAGTGCTCCGTCACCCTCAGAGGGAAGAACTTCTTCCTCATGTTCAGACGGAACTTCCTCTGCTTCAGTTTGTGCCCATTGCCCCTTGTCCTGTCATTGGGCACCACTGAAAAGAGTCTGGCCCCGTCCTCCTTACATCCACCCTTCAGATATTTATAGGCATTTACAAGATACCTTCTCAGTCTCCTCCTCTTCAGGCTAAACAAGCCCAGCTCCCTCAGCCTTTCCTCGTAGGACGGATGCTCCAGTCCACTAAGCCCTCCACTGGACTCTCTCCACTAGTTTCTCATCTTGCTTGAACTGGGGAGCCCAGAACTGGACACAGTACTCCAGATGGGGCCTCACCAGGGCAGTGTAGAGGGGGAGGAGAACCTCCCTCGACCTGCTGGCCACACTCCTCTTAATGCACCCCAGGATACCATTGGCCTTCATGGCAGCCAGGGCACACTGCTGGCTCATGGTTAACCTGTCGTCCACCAGGACACCCAGGTCCCTCTCCACAGAGCTGCTCTC